AGTTAAATAGAGTTGTTTTTACCATAAAATTTTTGTATAAAACATTTTTTAATATCTTGAACAATTTTCGAAATACATCGAGAAAAGCAAAAACCCGTTAGACACATAAGAAGTGATTCCACTCTTCAAAATCGCTTTTGGGCGGTAGCAGAAAATTTCTAAATTTATATATTTACCCCCTCTACATGTGTGTAAAGTTTCATCAAAATCGGAATTTTTGGGTTTGCGAGGTTCCCTTGTTAGCCACGGCTCATTTGCGGACACGAATTTATTGGCAAAATTAGCTTGTTTTGGTGTCCTTTATAACCATCTGAAGTTTGTCAGAGTCTAATTCTGGGACATTCTGTATAATTAACAGAAAAGAGTCTTTATAAAAGGTTTGTAGATTTTGTAATATATAATCATTGTATTATGTCATCATAGTGGTAATTTTTTCAACATAACGCTCGATTTTGCACCGACGTCGCGTTTGGGAAGCAATTCGCAGGGTTCAACGACCGCGCGCAATTTCGGAGCAGTGAGATGAGACGGGTGCGCGCGCGCGCGCGGGCACGCGGTTTAATTCGTCGCACGGCGTGGCGTGCCGGTCCGGTCGTAGGGCGGCGTAATATATCAATTGCAAAAAGTAATATTGATAAATGCGCAAAGTGGCGTCGCGTAAGCGCAGCCGGGTCGCCCGTGTGTACGCGCACACGCACGTAACCCGGGCCGCGCGCACGTATACATGCACATATACGGGATCCACACGAGCACGCACACGAATATGCCGAAGCCGAAAAGCGCGTAGAACGCGGGGCGCCCCTGGCGGCGGACCGTGCAAGTGACCCTCGCGGAAATAATTATCGCGATTTATGTTATTTGCAAATGTGATCCGGGGGCGCTTAATTAATTAGGCGATGCCGAGTAACGGCGATTAGCGACGAGACGGACGGGCTTCTCGGGCTACTATCCGGTTACGCCACGTGAGTGGAGCAGCGGCGGCCGCGATACGGGGTGAGTGTACTACTCCGAGAGTACGTTGCGGTCCCCCCTTGCGCGTTGTCGGAAGGGGGGCGGTGGCTCGCTCGCGGCCGAGCACTTTTTTATCGGTTCCGCCGGCTCGCTTCGGGATGATAACAATGGCCGTGCCGAGAGAGCCGCGGGCTGCGGCGAGCGCGCTCGGCGTCGCTCCGGACGCTCGACGACGACGATGATGTATGATCGCGCCGTGTCACCGTCGTCGACGGCTGACTCGTTGGCGCGTTCGGTAATCTCGATGGGCGGCATCGCGATGAGGCACTGTACTAGAGTTCCGTATAGCTGGAATCTCAGCGCGTCAATGTCCTCGATAATGTCCGCTGACGTTCACCGGCGAGATCCCGACGATTCTCTTTCGAGTCGTGGAATCGCGCGCGATAACGGGTGAACGGGGAATTATCGAGGCGTGTATCGATCGTTGGCTGACCATTAAATGCCTATATTTGTGTATGTTTATTTTTTTATTTATTATGTATAGGTACCCCTGTGCTCTCAGGATCATGTCTTTTTTATACTACACACAAGTGTGGTATTAAATATTACGATTTTATATGAATATATTAAGAGAACTTATTTATATTCATAAAGAGATTTTGTTGCGTCAAAAAGTTTATGTATCCAATTGTGTATGCATGCAGAATGGACTTGGCGGAAACTATGAAGAACATTGTTGCCAAAGGTATGCAAACAGAAATGGGTCCACCAGGTGGAGGGTCAGGTTACTCTGCTGCACCAAGCAGTGCTGGTTACGTCACCGAGAAGATGTACATGTTGTTACAAGCATACTTGCAGAATAAGGGATGGAATCCCAGTATCGAGCTGCTACAATGTTTTTCAGAATTTAAGGATGCTTCCATGATGCCAAGCGCTGCTTATTTACAGTAAGGATAAATATTATTTTGTAATTATATATAAACACAACTTATTTATGTGAAATATTTGTTATGTTTCATTTATTTACAGGATGATGGCATCTCGAGTAGCATTGGATTCGCAGGGAAGACTAGTCCTCAGAGAGAATGGAAAGATAATACTTCCCTATGAACACTTTGCCAATGCTGTCATGTTGAAACATATGAATGGGCCGCATGGCTTACATCTGGGCTTGGAGGGTACAGTCAGAGCAGTCATGGAATCTTATACCATCG